AAGTTGCCCAGGCAATGTTGGGGTTTGAGATCCTCCTGCCTCAGCCTTCCAGAGAGTTGGGGTTACAGGAGTGCACCATCCCTCCTGCCTGTGTGCCTGCAATTTGGCTGAGTCCTGTCACAGGCGGTCACGTGTGGCATCTTCTGCTTGTGGAATCACGTTTCAGATTCTGAGCATTTTTGGAATTTGGATTTTTGGTGTCCAGTAGCGCTCTGGAAATAGCTGGTGGTGTTTTGATGACAGCAGTTCAGGCCACTGTCCCAGGGCGTGTTCCTGGCTCCTCATGGGTAGGTTCGCAGGCTCCCAGGGTGCTTCAGTGGAGTTTCCAGTTGTGCTTCCCAAAGGAGAGAGTGAAAGCCAGGGCTCGTGGCAGAGGTCGGCAGGTGTTCGTTCTTACCTGCACCCCGGTGGCCACGCTATGCCTTGTGCAGGGCCAGTGGCTCTGGAAGGTCACTGAAGAGGCTTGGAGGCAGCTATGCATTCCACGCCCACGCTGCTTCCTCTGGAAGTCAGCATGACCTTCGGCCCTGTTCCCGTGGAGCTGCTGTTCCCAGGGGTGCTCTGGTGGAAGAGGGCTGTGGGAATCGTGCGCAGCTTCCTGGGACGCGCTCCCAAGTGTTGCGAGCTGCTGAAGCCTGGCTCAGTGTGTCGCCGTGCTTGGCCTCATCTGCATGCTTAGTTTTTAGGGGTCCCTGATGTGGGGACTCACTGGGTTGGGGTATGGTGTCAGCCACATCCCTGCAGCCGGGAGCTCTGGTGTGTGTGTCTGGCGCCACGCCCGTTGTGCATGTGGATGCAGTGGGGCGCAGGGGCAGCCGGGAAGGGCTCAGCGTGCAGGAGCTGTGTTCACACTGGTCCTCGGCAGCTCCCAGGTTGCTTTTAGAAGTGAAGGTTACCTGGTCCCAGCCTGGACCCACAGTCAGGAGCTTGTGTTTGAATAAGGAGCCCAGCTTGTCCTCGTGTGCCCTGGCGTCTGGGGAGCCAGCACTGGGCGCTCTGCTGTCCCTGGGGATTTGGGGTCTGAGTCCTCTCACTGGTCCTCTGGTGTCCTCCACAGTGGTCCTTCGGGTCTGAGGGGCCAATGGGCCGAGGTAGAGTTTCAGCCAGTGCTTGCTTGGGCTTTGTGGAGGGATTATTGAATTGCCCTCCACCTTCTGTCCCGTAGTTGGGGAAGGGGAAGTAAGTGAGCTTTGTCTCACAAGCCTGGAGGGTTGTGGGTGTGTGGCTCCAGGCCGGAGCCCTGGGTTCCATCCTTCACACCACCTGCCCAAAGTAAGAATAGAGAATGAGTTACAATGAGGAGTGTTTATGGCCAAATATTAAAATACACCAGGAAGCTGCCGTGTTTACTACTGGCAAAGAAGTGGAACAGAAGAAAGCACCTCTGGCACAAAACTTGGACTTCGCCCTCTGTAATGTACTGTATACATAAATGTAAAATATTTATCTAATAATAATAACATTTTTAAAGAGCTACCATATATCAAGAAGGGGGAAAGGATTATTCAGTAACTATGAGCATGAGGTCTTAACCTCTGTAGTCTCTTTGAGAAGAGATTCCTTTTTTTGTTTTGTGACAGGATCTCACTATGTAGTTCAGGCTGGCCTTGACCTCACAGTGATCCTCCTGCCTCAGCCTCTGGAGAGCTGGGATTACAGGTGTGTGCCACCAGCCTGGTTTGCATGGTGCTTTTAAAAGAAAAAAAAAATTTTTTTTTTAATCCCAGAGCAGTAGATCTGAAGAACATATCAGGCTTCCTTTTTTGCCTTGGCTGGGGAGCCTAGCTCTAAACTTCACCAATGCACAAACATGAATACTCTCTATCTTTGGATACATACATATGCACACACCTATACATGCATTCAGTGCATACAGACATGTCTACACACACACACACACACACACACACACACACACACACACACACGAGCACACCTGCTTGCAGGCTTCATTCACTTAGCCCACTGCTGTTTTGTTTCCTCTAACCTGATTTTTGGTTGATCAAATTCTGTATTTTATGCATCTTTTTAATTCACTTGAATGCATTGTGGGAAGGAGGGAGCCTATAAATATGGAAGCAGAATATAATACATAGGAAAAAGACTTAGAAAAATATGGCAAATCTGAGTAGATGGGGTTGCAGGAGGGCGGTATGGAGTGTGTTGGGTGTGATACTAATTTTCCCTAAGATTTTTGGTAGTTTCCCTAAGATTTTCTACTTAAAGCAAAATTGCATCATGTAGAAAAACTGCTGTTTTTAAGAAGGTGGTTTCCTCCCGTGCATTGGAGGGGCACTCTCAGTCTGCCCACACAGGAACAGAGGTGGGAGGGGCCGAGGAGGACATCAGGGCTGTGGGCTTGCACGGGGCAGGTGCTGGGTTCGGGAGTATGCAGGTGGCTCTGTGTGTCTGCGGGTGCTATATCCACAGAGCCATCAGCTTTGGGTTAGGCACCCCCAGACTGAAAAGGTTTGCCAAAAAAAAGTTCCTGAAAACTTCCAAAAATCAAAACTGAAATATGCCTTGCAGCTAGCACTGATGCTAAGTCCACGTGGTGGTGGGACGTGCGTGCCTTGTATCAGGTGTGACATGGAATCCAGAGATGGTATAAAGTATCTGTGATGGGGCTGGAGTGTAGCTCAATGGTGGGGTGTATGTTGAGGGGCCCTGGCTCAAACCTCAGTGCCACAAAGCACCCCGCCCAAAGCCCCAACAAAGCCAAAACCAGGAGAATGTGCATGGGTCCTATGCAGATGTGATGCCAGTTTCATGGAGGATTTCAAGGCTCCTGGAGCCTAGGGCCTTGGGTAGACAGTGGTGGCGGCAAGGTCTTGGAGCCAGGACTTCCCAGTATGGGGGATGTCTGGATCGTTCTTGTTGGAACGCGCAAGTGCAGTGGGAACATGCTTTCCCATAGTAAGGACATGGATCGAGCTCTTCCCATGTCTGGACACCCAGGCCCTGCTCTGAGGAGGTTGCGGGCAGACAGATTGGTGCTCCTATGGAGATGATTGCAAATGGTGCTGTCACTGTGAGGTACAGAGCTTTGGCCTGTGAGGAGAGTGGCACTGCCTGGTGATGAGGGGCACCACTGTGCAGAAGCTGCGGTGGGCAGCGCCTGTGTGGCCACGGAGGTGCAGAACCCCAAGGGTGGCTGTGTAGGGGGCTGGGAATGCCTTAGGGAGCTCAGGTCTGCTGGACCAGGGAACGAGTCTGAATTCGACTCTGCGGTACCTGATCAGAGGTTCAGAAGACCCGATGGCTGCTTGGTTGGGTGGTGGCTTGCAAGAGAGTGAGAGAGGAAGTAGGATGTGCCAGGGACTGTCTAAAGTGATGGCTACAAAGTGGAGTTTTTGTGGTTGTTAGAGGAGCCTGGAGATACAGTTTCAAAAGAAAACTTGGAATTGTTTCATCATTTTCTGCCTTAGCATTTTACCAGTGGGATAGGCTTACATTAAAAGTGTCCTTTAGTTTTAACTTTCATTAGATGATGTCACATTACAGATTCCAGATTCCTGCTTCCCTGGACAAATGCTTGTGGTTAATACTAATACTTATAAATACTTATTAAAAACTATTATTAAAAGATAATTTCACTTAGGTGGCCATATTTAAAAACTTCTGAAATAGTTTTGATTGGCATAGTCATTGCGTGTTCTTACAGGTTGAGGTGTGGTACTCAGTATACACAGACAGTCTCAGTGCCCCTGTCAGAGTAACTGGTGTATCAGATAACCGTATTTCTGACATACTCAAAGCCACGTTCAGCTGATCACATTTGAACAATGTCTGCAAAATTTGATCCATTGCAGAAATCTGAACTCAGCAGAACTCTTTACCTGGGTGTGGAAAATCTAATGTTTTATTAAGGAAGAATCGGCTCATTGTTTTAGGCATCCAGCGTCCTGGGTTTTGTCTTTATTCTGGCACATGTGTGATTTAACCTTGACAGATCATGTTAGTTAGTTTATTAGTGCTTTCTGTGAAGAAGATGGGTGATAATAGTTCTAGTATGTTGCCCATTGTCATGGTAGCTGGTGGAGGGCACTTCAGGACCTAGAAGAGATAATAATAGCATATACAAAGGTCCTGTGGCTGGAGGGAGCAGTCTGATACTGTAGCAACTAAAAGACAATAGGCGGATAGCACAGTGCAAGTTAGAGAGGCTAGGGCCCCTTTGTGGAGTTAGACTAGAGTCAAGCTGGCGGGATCTTGTAGACTTCTTGGGGACTTTAATCTTCACCTGGAGTGTAAGGGAAGCCATGGGAGGATTTGAAATCAAAGAGCAATATAATGTTGATTGCTATGCTGTCTCATTTAATCTCCATAACAAGTCTGTGTGCCAGGAATTCTTGTCCCCATTTAAACCCGGGCAGTGGAGACTTGAGTAGTTTTCAGGGCGTCTTGCAGGTAAACAGTGGAGCCAGGGCCACGGGAGGTCACGGTCCTTTGCTGTCAGTATCAGTCTACCTCGATAATCACACAACAGCGGCCGCAGTCTCAAAGCGCTTTGAACTCTTAAGATGAAAGATTCCCCTTCAATTACAGAGTGGTGTCATGCTGTGGCCACGTGAGCAGTCGGAGAGGGTGGGGATGTCGCCCAGCTTGGAGAGCCCCAGTGTGCCTGGCCGCAGTCCAGTGTCTCCGGGGCCCGGCTGTCTGGGGAGGGGGGCACTCACCGCGCTATCAGCACGAAGCAGGGTCTGGCTGCCTGGCACAGCCATCTGATACCGCCATTGTCCATAAGGACTCATTGTCCAAGGAGTGCCCCTGAGGGACCGATCAGAGGCAGCAGCGGTTTCACTGGAGCCTCAACCAGGGCCAAGTTTCTGCTTTCTGCCTCTGGGTACCGGGAGCTTAAGTGCATTGTTAGGATGTCGCCTCCTGATCTCCTGGGGGAACCCAAGAAGCCTCGCTCCGGGGGTTGAGGGGTGGGTGGATACCTGGCGGCAGTGGCATGGGATTCTTATCACTGATGACAAACATCTGCTCCTTCCTAGTTGACCATGTCGTGCCAGAGCCTGGGACAAGCCTGCTGGCTGCCTTCGACCAGTGGAGGGAGTGGGCTGACAGCAAGTCCTGCTGCGACTACTCTCTGCACGTGGACATCACCGAGTGGCACAAGGGCATCCAGGAGGAGATGGAGGCGCTGGTGAAGGACCACGGTGGGTCGCACAGATTTGGCTGCCCCGTTTCCCTTTCATCCCATAAATGGGTACAGCTCTGGGAAGCAGCGATGTGGGAGTCGTCGGAGGACCCAGGGCTTTGGGCTGCAGCCCCTGCTGACCAGGCGCGGTCGCAGCACCTTCACGGAGGGCGGGCCTAGTGTCTGCCCCGTTGGTACTCTGGCTGCCCTGTGTGAGGTACCTGGGCTCTGGAGCCAGGCTGGGAGCTGAAGGGGAGTGCTGAGAGCCATCGAGACTCCTTGAGGGGGGCTGGTGTCCCAGGGAGTCATGTGGGCCAGGAGGGTTGGGCAGTCTCTTCTGCACCCTGGCCTCCAGGAAGGAAGGTGGAGGTGAGAAGACACTTTGGAGACAGCCTCAGGGATCTTTGCCATTGTGAAATTTCTAGGGATGGGAAAGGTTCCCAGGGAGGCAGGCATGACCGTTACAACCACAGAGGGCCTCTGGACTTGTGAGCATGCACCTTGGAGTTGGTTGGTGCAGCAAAGCCTGAAGTCTCCTAGGGCTTGGCTGTTGCCGAGACCCCTGGGGTCATTCTCTTGTGACCTCACTGAATTTTGTCCTTCAAAGAAGCACCTATTGATCAAGGGTTCTAGAATAGCATGCACAAAGGCACCTGTGCTGTGAGTAAACCAACACGAGGGCCAGGTGTGGTGGTGCATGCTTGTAATCTCAACACACAGAGGCTGAAGCAGGAGAATCGCTGTGAATTCAAGATCAGCCTTGGCTATGTAGAGTTCAAGGCCAGCTTGGAATTCAAAGTGAGGCATTGTCTGAAGAAAACAAAAACCTGAAAAACAAAACAAATATGAACAGATTACCTCTTCAAAAAACTCTTAAGATGGATATAGACATATATAGTGATGTGGTAGGTATCCATTGATACTGTACAGAAAGTTCCAGAATGAGAACTCTTTCACAGACTAGCCGTGTAACCTTGTATCAGTCACATTTTATGGGTCTCAAGTTCGAAAAAGAAAATCTCTTCCATGAGGGTACTGAATTTTTAAGATGTCTCCCAAGATTCTTTGCAGCATGAAGCTTTAAAAACCAAACAGGCAACATTTTGACCTCCCTTTGGTGTTTCCCAGACTCCATTGGATTTGACTTTCAATACTTAGAGTGAATCTGTTCTGGTGCAGGCTTCAGGGTTACCATGGCAACAGTTGCCCGGCAAGGAGAGCAGGGTCAGGATGTCCGGAGGCATTTAACTGGGGCAGCTTCCAGCACCCTCAGGTGGCTTGAATTAAGCTCCACGCCTGTGAGGCTGTCAGGACGATTGTTTAAAATTGTGATGGATGTCGGACAGGGATGTTTGGTCTGGTGCCTTGAGAAGCAAGACCTATGAGACGCCAGGCTGAGCACTGTGACACATCTGCTTGTTGGAGTCATGGGTCTTATTTAAAAAAAAAAAGAGAGTTTCTGAAAAACCAGCATGGAAGGCAATGTGTGTGCCAAAGAAATGATGCTTATTACTGATCTTCGTAGACTCGTCTAGCTCATTTCTTTAAATAAATCCCAACAGACTTGTTTGGGTGGCAGCCTTTCTAAATTTTTTTAAGGTTGTCATAGTGAAATACACATCATGCGACACCTCCCAGCTTTGGCAAGTAGGAAGGGCACAATTCAGTGGAACTAAACGCAACCATTTTTGACCATTGTCAACCATTGACAGCCTCCACTCCAGGACGCTTCTTCAGCTGTCTAAACTCTCAGTACCCTTCAAACAGCGATTTCCCAATTCCTAATCCCAGCCCCGGGCGATCTCGCTTTTCCTTTTTCTTTATGAGCTTGTCTGTGCATAGTTCCTCAGGTGAGGGATTCCTCCGGACTTTCTCTTTTACAGTGGGCGTGTTGCACGCGGCTCAATGCCTCCGAGGCTCATCCAAGTTGCAGCCTGGATCCTGGTTTCCTTTAGAGACCAAATGGTCCTGCGCCTGCACAGAGACCGCACTGGGTTGTCTCTGTAGCCATGGTGGGGGGTGCTTGAGCTGCTTCCACCTTTTGGTTACTGTAAGCTGAGAACATAGGAGGATAAATATTGTGACTTTTAATTTTCATATCGTGTTAACCTTACAGAGAAATTTTAATACTGTAAATCTTAGGAACTCTATTCTCCGAATCCCGGGTTGTTTGTATTTTACCCCCATTTTCTTTCTCACTCTTTGGCTCTTTGTCTCTGTGTCCCTTTTCTATCTCTACATGCACATGCATGTGTGTAGACGTATGTACACACAGATATGCACAGACATGGTATTATCACTGCTTTATCCTCTTCCGGGTCATTCGGTTTGGGTTTAGCTATTAAAAGCTACATCTGCCTCTTTTTTGTCTGTCCTTTAGGGGTAAATTCCTTCCTCGTGTACATGGCTTTTAAAGATCGCTTCCAGCTCACGGATTCGCAGGTAAGAAAGTCATCTCCCTACACAGGCTCACTGCCACTGGTCAGCTGGCTGTCACAGCTGTCCAGGGAAGCGGTCACCACTGGATATGTGTCCCTCAGCTGCACAGAACTGGGATCCTGGCTTCAGTGAGCTGTAATCAGCCTTTGGGAGAGGGTGCACCGAGGGCCTGTCCCTGGCAGGTGCTGGATCTGACCCTGGGAACCTTTAGCTGGGGACAGTGTGGCCCAGAAAGGCACTCAGCCTCTTCAGCGAACCCGTTGTGCTTCCGGAGCCTCTTGGCCCCACACCGTGCCCTTGGCCATGCTCCCCTGTGGATGGCAGAAGGGGACCCTCTGCAGAAGGGGCTGGCAACACAGCCATGGGGAGGGACCCTGACTCTGATCCTGCCTTCCTCTGTCTCAGATATATGAAGTCCTGAGCGTGATCCGGGACATTGGTGCCATCGCCCAAGTCCATGCGGAAAACGGCGACATCATTGCAGAGGTACTGGGCTTTCCTCTCCATCCTTCCTTCCCCCTGGAGAGCAGGGCGGGACGTAGCTTGTGGAAGCTGGGTGACTTTGGTGGCTGAGTGCCCCATGGGGCATCAGGGAGCCTGGAGTCCTGTGCTGGGTGTTCATGGGACACTCGGCCAGTTCCAGTTCCTTCTCTGGACACACCCAGAGGTATGGCCCTCTGGCCCCAGGCAAGGAGCGCGCTGGGTCTCAGTGTCCCACGGACAGCTGAGGGGTTTGGGGAGGGTGTTGTCAGTCTGTTCTGCTCAGAGCGGTCGGGACAATGAACCGTTTTCTCAGTGAGCCTCGGGTTCTGAGTGGCCAGCATGCCAGTTTCACACCTTGCACGCGTAGTGTAGTGCCTGGGCCTGCAGCCCTCACAGCCCCCTGCAGTTTGGCTGTCTTTCTGCATTTCAGGAGCAGCAGCGGATCCTGGATCTGGGCATCACAGGCCCCGAGGGACACGTGCTGAGCCGGCCTGAGGAGGTGAATGTCCGCAAATGGACTCATGCCTTGAAGTCCCTTGGGGGCGGTGTCGAGAATGCAGAGCCCGCTTTGTGCCTCTGGAGATGGGGCTTCTTTGACACAGACCTGGTCTGTCTGTGGTCATGTGCATGCATGTGTGTGTGTGTATGTGTGCATGTGTCTACTCAGGCCGAGCGAAGTGTTGGACTGCAGGACATCTGGGACTCATTTACCTAGACAGCTGAGCGCTCCGTCTCTGGCTCTCCACACCCTTTCTTGAATAGACACACAAACACCTCCAGAGTAGCATCCTGTGGTCTGGGTTTTAGTGGCTCCCAATTTAAGATCATCTTCCAAAACATGCAATTAGGGATCAGAAAACTCTTCTGTGTCCCTTAAACATGAGGGGAAGTGTGTGTGCATTTTTCCACCATAAGTCTGCATGGGGCATGATGAAATCAGGGTCTTGTGGATTGAATCTTTTGAAATTGCAGAAGAATTCGACACAGGGCCCTGGTGGGCCCCGACAGTGCTGTCAGAGGGTGTGGGCCAGTGCGTCTCAGCTAGACTTTGTAGATCTAAAACCCTCTGCAAAGGAGTTACTTCTGGTGAGGGGCAAGGAGGGCCTCCAGGCAGAAGCCCTGACTGAGGAGAAGTCTGGCAGCTGTGGGGAGAGGGATGGAGGAGGGTGTCCAGGAAGTGGCTGGTCCTCTTCCTTTCCTGGAAAGAGGCCAGGAGAGAAGATTCGGGAAGCAGGTCCGCAGGGACTGGGTGGGTGGAGGTATACTGTTAGCATCTTCCCCACAAAAGGAGGTGGCAGGAGATGAAGGGGCGGTGAGGTCCTCAGAGCTTCAGAGTTGTCTGTGGAGCAGAACAAGCAAACAGGAAGTAAGCTGGCCTGGGCTTCCTGGGAAGGAGAGAGCCATCCAGGAGGCGTTGTCTGTTTGCTGCTTTGACCAGAAAAATTAAAACCATTTGTATACAGCTCAGCCCAGGAGGCTTCCCCTTGCCACAGTTGTCACGGAGAGAATTGCAAGAGTCCCTGTGGCTCCCTGTGAAGGCTCCATCGAGTGGGGAATGCAATTCTCAGCTGGTCAGGGTGGGGCACCTGCCCATGCCCATGGACCCGGCCTCTCCGGGTTCTTTCACCCCTGGGCAGCCCGCTGAGCTGAGGGGATCACACACGCTTGGAGGGCAGACAAGGGAGATTGAGACTGGGCCCCCAGGCTCCAGCTGTACCTCCTGGCTGCTGGTAATAATTTTCCAGTTAGCCAAGCCGGTTCTTTGTGCGTTAAGCCCTGAGTAGGCGATAAAGAGAATAAAATATGGAACCACTCTGAGTGGACTTGAACCCTCACAGCCTAGAGAGGGAGAAGCTAGCCCTGCGTAGGAACAGCAGCCACTAATATGCACAGCTGAACTTTAGACACTTTCTGGAACTTTCCATAACCCGCATGGTGATGGCTTCCTTGTGCAGAAACTTTCCAGAACATTTTCCTGCTCCCCTATGCTTTCCTCCTTCCCAGTCTACCATGTGAGACCGCCTGGTATGGCCTCTCCTGGGCGTTAGCTGAGAAGATGGACCAGGAGTGCAGGATTCCGAAGTCACCTATGCCAGGTGGATGGGTGGCGGTGGGGCAGTGCCCTGTGGGGACAGCGTGAGGAGAGCTGTGGTCGCTGCTGAGAGGGGCTCACAAGGACCTGGGAGGAAAGAGACAGATGTACAGACGTAGGGTAGAATGCAAGGGCTGGGAGTGAAGGAGCAGTGTTAAGACCCCATGCCTGGGAAGACGGTAGGGACTCGGCTGTAATAATGGGGAATCCTTCATGGAGTATGGGGTGATCGTGAGGAGCCAGGAGGTACGGACAGGGTCTGTTAGGGATCTGCAGTGCACTGACCCTGCTGTGTGTTCCTGGATAGGTTATTTCTCTCTCTGGACTTTCTGTTGTCTCATCTGTTAATTTAGAAGGTGGACAAGATGCCCTTAAGTTCCTGATTTGATTTCTAAACACTCATACAATTTTTGCAATATTTTTTGTTTTACTTTTAGTTATTTGAGACAAGGTATCACTATGGACTTTACAATGCTGGCCTTGAGCTTGCTCTGTAGCCCAAACTGGCCTGGAATTTATGGGTTACCCTCCTGCCTTAGCCTGTGAACTCCATTCCCAGGGAATGAGCAAATCTACCCAGGGCCCTGGAACCTAGCTCTTCTCCCAAAGCCAGTCCCCCAGGGGTGGAGCAGCCCCATGCTGAGATGTTGGGGGGCTCACAGTGTCCCATAATTATTACATTGCACTCTAGTCTATGCCTGGGACCTGGGTCTTGTTCTTGCTGAGCTCGAGCTCGGAATGGTGCCCGTCTCACTGTCACTTGGCTGTGAGGAGTCCCTGCAAGCAGAGGAAGAGGGTGGGCAGGCGGGTGGATCCTCAGCTATCCCAGGAATGAAAAACATTTGGGTGTTCAGTGAGTACTTTTAAGAGCCATTTGCTTTGCCCTGCATTTCTTGACATCTCCGTTTGAATGGCTGCTGTGTGAGTGAAGCCCGGGCAGAACCTGAGCCTGAGCCCCAGTGAGCCCTCCTGGAGACAGAGTTCCAGATACACGTGGGCAGGAGCTCTGCTCTTCATGTGAAGCCGCAAGTCTGTGGAGCTCCTAGATGGAAGTGCCATTCACAAAGGGCAGGCATGCATAGTGTCTGCGCGGAAATACCTTTTGAGCACCTGCTGTAGAGCAGGCTCTGCTGGCCTCCTTTCCTTTCCCCTCCAAGAATTCACACCACAGTGACTTGCCTGGATTGGGTGAAGAGAGATACCTAGAAATCCACAGTGACTTTCTGAGCTGTGCTGTAGCACAGTTTCACTTGCCTTTAAAAAAAAACACCTTGCTGATTCCCCTGAAAGACGTAACACTGGTCAGGGTGTCTTCCCTGATGGACCATTTAGCTGTCACCACAGCTGTACCCAGGGTCCCCCCAGGCTGTGAACTGGCCCTGTTCACGCCTCACACACAGTGCACAGATGCGGCTTTCCCTGCCCTCTGGTCTCGCATTGGTTTGTTTTGTGGGTGGTGCTGGCCTCATAGAAGCCCAGCCTGAAAGCTGCATCCCTGAAGGTCTTGACTCAGGACCAGGGAAGCAGAATGGATGTCCCAGACTGAGATCAACCACGCCTGTGAGTGTTGGTTCTCTGATATCAGCAAGCCTTCATTACAGCCCAGATGACCGGGCACTCAATGTGGGTTTAGGAGGGAGGCTGGGAATCTGCATTTGTGACACTTTGAGGAAAATCGGAGGGAAGTTCCCCATCGTTGCAACCACCCAAGGGACCTAGGTGCTCCTGGGGCACAGCAGTGTCACAGGTGGAGGGTAAAGTTGGAGCTGGGGTGGTCTGGCTTCTCATGCTCATTATCTCCCTTAGGTCGAGGCAGAAGCTGTGAATCGGTCCATCACCATTGCCAACCAGACCAACTGCCCACTGTACATCACCAAGGTGATGAGCAAGAGTGCGGCCGAAGTCATCGCCCAGGCCCGGAAAAAGGGTGAGCTTGGCGAGGCGGGCAGGTGTGGAGGTGGGCAGGAGGGCTCCTTTCCCCACCCTGCCAAGTGGGCCACTTTCATCACCTTCCTGCCTTAACCTAATTACAGCCCAGCGGGGCAGGGAGCTCCAGTTTCCTCCCTTTGTCCCACAGCTGCGCCCTTGTGCACGACTGTTTAAAGCAGAAGCACCGCCAAGGCTGGCGCCCCCCCGTGGAGAAGCTGGATCTGATCTGTGTGGTGTAATTAAACCCGGCCTAGGTGTGGTTTCCATCGGTTACTCGGGGAGGGTTGTTTTGCACAGAGGATCTTGCCTATGTGGTTGGAGGTGCTGTCCTCAGGGTGGGTCAGAGAGTCCTGTGTAGGGTAGCTTTTATCCCAGATCTCGTCACTTCCAGGTTTGGGATCTCAGATGCCTGCTGGTCATTAAGCCGTGGATGCCTTCAGTCTGCAGCTGGAGCACTGTTGGTCTTGGGGGTCTGTTGAGCTGGTCCCTGGGAACTGGTTCACTAAGTGCAGTGCCTGGAGCTTCCTGAGGGGACTTTCCCTGGGGGAGCTCACCCCGTTACGAACGCAGCAGAGCCCCCTGCCATCTGCTGTGTGAATTTGGCCAGTGACCCCATATTTAACACTTGGGAGTTAGTGCTCCCTGCAGAAAATCTGAGAGCCAGAGTTGGCCTTGGTGCAGGGGTGTGGGGCATAGCTCGATCTAAAATAAGCATTGTGAAAGGGGTCTTTCTTAAGTGGAGTGACACATGCATGCAGTTCCACCACTCTGCAAGCTGAGGCAGGAGGATCGCTGTGAGTTCAAGGCCAGGTTGGCCTACATAGTGAGTTCAAGATCAGCAAGACCCTGTCTCAAAAACTAAAAGAACAACAAAGCAAAATAGTAAATAATCCAAAGGGCCCCTTCTTCCCCTCTTTGCTTTCTTCTTTTCTCCCTGTTGTGTCTTTCTGTCCCTTTGCCTCTGACTCTGTTTCTGCCTCTATTGCTCGCTGGGTTTCTGGTTTTCTCTTTCTCTCTTTCCCGCCCGCCCCCCCTCTCATTCTCCTTTCTCCTCTCTGTCTTCCTGTATCCTTCTCTCGAGCACTGTGGCCCCGTACATCTCCATCTCTGCCTCCCTCTGGGATGCGATCTGAACGGAGCCCAGAGGGCTGTGGCATCTCTTCCCCTGTCGCTCAGTGGGGGACCCACAGTCAATGGCTTAGTGACTGGTGAGTCCGATCATCCCACGAGACCGTGGCTTCTGGGTGGCCCCAGTGAGTTCTGCCTCTGGTCTTTGGAGCTCCCTAGAGATCCTAAGGCTTTGCACCATGTGGTTGCTGCTCTGCTCTTGGGAACCTGCCCCCTCCTGGCTGCTGGGAGGAGGCCTCTTTTCTCAGTGAGAAAGCATGGCCCGAAATAATGTAATCTGCCCAAATTAGGGTGTGAGTTGTCTTCCAGGAGATCCAGGGATGAAGACCCAGCCAGGGGCTGTTTGTCCTGCAGGGTGGCTGCGTTTGTGGGCCAGCCTCAGTCCTGGACACCCCGTCTGTCACAGCCCTCCTTGATGCCTCCCTGGCATTGTATCCAGGAAGGGGAAGCAGGGTGGCTTACTCTGTTTTTACCAATCACTCTCTCAGGTAGTAAGTAGCCTGTCAGACAAGCCTGTTATCCTCATTTTGAATGGAGGCCTTGCCAGCTTGGTGTCCCCACATTCAAGCTCTCTCCAGTTCAATGAGGAAGAGTCTGGCGTTTCATCTGACTGCCGTGGGGGCAGGTAGCAGGGGTGGAGGTGACACCCTGCAGGGTCCAAGTCCCCACTGCTTCCTGGGGCTCAGGTTTCCCAAGGACTTGTGGAGCAGGGGTGTGAGGTCCATGCCCCGTCCTCTCTCACACTCCAGCTTGGGGCCTGTGTGTCTCGGAGGTGAGCACCTGAGGCACCTCTTTGATTCTGTTGTGCTCCAGGTGCAGTCCACTTGTGCCCACACTGTGCTCTGCAGAGTGCTGTGGGAGTCCCACTGTTACCTTTGGTTTGTGTTACACAAACCCAAGTTGCTGGAAAGGAATTGCAGTGTTTTGAGGAGCCAGCAGGCAGGACTGGGAACCCTAGCCAAGTTCTCAGTTTTGTCTTACAGTAACAGCCTGACAATGCAGGACGGAGCCTGTGCAGGAATTTTTACATTTTATTTAACTTTGCAGCCAGGTGAGCTGAAGCTCAGAGCCAGGGACTGGATCACTGGGACTCTAACTTCAGGCCACAAATCTTCACAGGAACACTGGCTGGCTGTCATGACTAGAGCTGCTTTAGGGTTGGTTGCTTGTGATCTTTGTGTGTTGGTGCTTAGTTCCTCAGCATACCTGGTAGAAATGGGAGGCTTAACCCTGTGGAGGCCCAGGTCATAGAGAAGGGAGGATTTCCAGAGCACCCAGAAGAGAAACAATAGAAGGTTGTGTTAAGAGTTCACTCCATGGGCTCAATATCCTGTCTCCAATCAAGTCTGCTTCATGGTGCACCAGCCACCTGATGCTGTGCTGCCTGCTCATCATCTCTAGGTCTCAGTTTCTACCTGCGAGAGGGGGAGGTAACAGAGCTTCATCTCCTGGGGCGAGGATGATGTTTAAATGAGATAATATGGGCCTGTGTAATAACTCTCACCAGTTATCCTCATGGTTAAAGAATGAGGGGCTGGCTTGACCTTGAGCTTGTTAGACAAACAGGGCAAAGGCTCCTGGGAGCTGGGGTGTGGGTTTTCTGCTGAGGTTTGTTTTTCTATACCAAAGAGACTCTAGGGGTCAGGCTGCTGGAGCGAACTGAAAAACTTTTCTCCAAATGTGGGCTGTTTCAGAATCAAAATCACGCAGGTATAATACCAGCACTCCGGAGGGCTGTGGCAGGAGGATGGCAGGTTCCAGCTCTGCCTGAGTAACCTAATGACTTAGTGAGACCCTATCTCAAAATTAAAAAAAAAAAAGCTCAGTGTGAAGGCCCTGGGTTCAGTCCCCTGTCCCAGAACCATGAGGTAACATATCCTCTCAGCCCGAGCACCCCTCCACCCACGGACTGCTGGTTCTGGGTCTAGGGTGGGGGATGTTAGGTGAGGGTATGAACGAGAGCTATTTTCTTGTGCCACTTGACCCAGGAGGACTGTATCCTGTCTGTCATGTCCCTGTCCTGTCCTGTGCAGCGGGAGGGCCTCGTCAGCCTTGCCTTTCAGATAAGGAAATAAAACCATAGCCAGGACCACAGTTCCATACTATTATTCTTCAGAAGAACTCAGACCACGGGCAACTGAAGGGGCTTGTTTCCTAGAAGAGAAATAGAAGCGCAGAAATTGAATACCTTTTCTCAGATGGTCCAGCTGAACCCAGATTCCTGGCTGCTGGAGGGCAGCGCTGGGATCCCCCCTCACTTCCATCTTCCCCAGAATGCTTTTGGTCCCTGCATGACCAGTGTGGCTGCCCTGGGTGGTGCCCACTGACCTTTCCTGGCAGATGCCCTCCTCCGCCCTCCTCACCCACCCCAGAACCCAGTGGAATGGAAACATTGGAATAGTTGTGGCTGCGAACGATGCGGAACCTGCAGAGCCACAGTCTAGATGGGGTTTCTAACGTCCTGCCTGTCAGTAGGGGCGCTTGGGCGCCATGGGAGATGTGTTCATGTGGGCACAGGGCCCACGGGGAGCACAGTAACCTGGGAACGAGCCCTTGGCGTGAGGCGAGGGGGCCCCAGGTCAGTCTCGGACCTCACACTGGGCTCGAGGGTGATAGGTGGATCCATTGTGAGTGGCGTAAAATCCCACCAATCCCCTAGTAGAAAACCACAACCTACAGGGGGCGGGGAAGGGGGAGGGCATGGAGGGGGTGCAGACAGACAGACAGGCGCAGAGACCCCGAGGAGAGATGATCTGCAGGCAGCTTCCCCAGTCAGTGCCTTGACTGGAACAGAGGGGACTGAGGCTGGGAATTCAATGTGGGTCCTCATCCAGCCACTTCCACGGTGAGAACCTGGGTTCAATTTTATTCGTCTCACTTCTGCATCTGTAAGACATAAACGTGTCTTAGAGGGTACTTGCAAAAAAATTGGGATTGTTTGTTTGTTGCTTGACTTGGGAATTTGAATTCTTGCCTGCATTTTCTTTTCCCACTTTGTCCAGGGCTATTGGGAGTGACTGGCCATTTTCACTAGATTTGTTAGTTGGACACAAAAGTGTTCTCCAGTATCAGCACACATCACCCAGAGCCTTGCCTCTTAGAGCACAGTGTGGTGGTGCATGCCTGTGATCCAGGCATTCTGGGAGGCTGAGGCAGGAAGATTGCAAGTTTGAGCAAGTCTCGGGCAATGTGTAACTTAGTGAGATCCTGTCCCCAAATTAAAAAACAATAATAATAAGGCCAGCATGTAGTCCAGTGTGAAGGCGCTGGGTTCAATTCCTAATACTGCCAAGAAGAGAAGGACAAGAGGAACAGGAGGAAGAAGAGAAGGAGGAGAAGAGGGGAGGTGTAGCAGTAATATTTTCTCAGGGGCATCCAGTAGTGATACTGTGTGTATATCTGTGCCCGTAGCACGGTAGGGGCTAAAACTGCTGTCTGTACTGGAAAAAAGAATCATTTGTACCTTCAATCTGTATTTGACGAGAGCACACATTCAGAAACCTCAGAACCAGTCCAGAAAGCTCACCCTGAAGATGTTCCTTTGGAACGATTCTTCGTACCCAAGCCTGACAGCACGGTGTCCAGGCTGTGCATGGGCTTTCTGGAAGATGGGGAGGGTGGTGTGTGTGTGTCTGTGTGTCTGTCCATCCCCATTGGTTTTCTACTCTGCCTTGGTGGCTGCATTTCGAGCTACAGCCTAAAAGGTTTTCCATTGTTCCTGCTTCGGCCTGTCCTCTGTCCCTTCTTCACGGGAAATGACTGTCAGACATTTCTCAGGTCCTGCCTTGCATCTGTTCTTCATGAATGCACTTGAGCCCTGGCAGCTTGCGAGTAAACATCGCCTCCCAGTCCCCTGAATTTCCCGGCTTTGCCGGTGAGCCTGCTAGCAAGCGGCTGGCGTGGGGTCACAGCCTTCTGAAGTTGAGGCTTTCCCTGGAGAGGAAACTCATGCAGCTATACTGGCCGCCAAGAAAGCATCAGCATTGTGTTTAGAGAAGAGCAGAAAGGCCAATTAAGCCATTCCGTGGTTTATTATTATTAGTGGTAATTATTTCTGGCACGCAGCTCCCTGGTGCCTGTGGCCTGCCTGGGCTCCCTCGAACTCGGTGTTTACAGAACAGGGAGAAGAGCCCAGGAGGGCGACCAGGCCACTGGTGATGGGGGTGGAGTCGTGCTCTGTGGCCATAGAGGCCTTGGATGTGATGCTGAATACCTGGCCTACTTTCAGGGGCTGAAGAACAGAAATAAAGGCAAGACACAACAAGGAACTCTGAATCCATCAGGAAGTTTGCACAGAGCCAAGAAGTGAGCTACAAGATGACCCTTCCTCCTCATGTGTGCCTCTCCTGTGCCCTCCTCTCCCCATCTTGACTGGGACATTGGGCCATAGGTCCTTCCTCTTCCTTGGTCTAAGGAGGCAGGTTCTGGTCAGCAGTAGTCTTGGAAGCTCTGATCCAGTTCTGGGTTTGCCAGAGGTCAGAAGCTGAGTTCATTCTTTCTTGAGAAGCATGACCCTCCACACAGAGAAAGAGTATCTGGGCTATTGTCACACAGCTGCCATCTTGCTCTTGAGCTGAGCTTTGCAGGGAGAAGTGCAACTCTTCCTTTCAGTCACTTTGCTGCTGTTGTGACAAAGCACTTCATTTCCACAATTTAAGGAGAGGAGGCTTGTTTGGTTCAAGGTTCCAGTGGATGCAGTGCATGGTCAGCTGACTCCAAGTCAGAAAAGACATGGCGGTAGGGCCTGGTGGGAGACAGCTGTTTACACTGAGGCAGCCAGGAAGCAGAGAGAAGAGAGAACAATGTACCCTTCCAGGTCACCCCAGTGACCACCTCCAGCCAGGCCCCACGTCCTGACAACACATTTAGCCATGAACTCGTCCATGGGTGAGTCCACTGAAGTGTCCCATGATCAGTCACTTCCAGAACCCCCACCTTTGACCATGTGGGGCTTTTGGGGGCTATTGCAGATGGGAATGTCCCGTCTCTTCCTAGCACCAGCCCTTCCTTATACTCTGGATTCCAAACGAATCAGATTTGGCAGGAGCTTGCCAATTATGTGAGGATTCTGGGAAATGTGGACACTTGTCCACTGCTTTTCACAGGCCATCAAGCTGTTTTTCTTTTTTTTCCATCAAGCACCTTTGCTCTCATGAACCTTTTCATGGAGAAAAGCCAGGAAACCCACAGCGTTTTGGATGCTTTTTCTCATATTCACCTGAACCCCACTTTTGAGCAGGCCCTCAGCCCTGGCTGGACAGGGAGAGTGAGACCTAATCAGTCCTGTGGGCTGCTCCATCCCAAGACTGGGCACCAGCAGGCCCATGAGAACCACCACTACCCTGTGCCCACAAAGCCATTTGCATCTCATAAAGGGCCTGGCACAGTGAGGCCTTCTCATTATGTGATGTTTTCCACTTTGGGGTGCAGCCACCCAGGAGGCAGGCCTGAGGAGGTCAGGAGCTCAGGGGTCCCTTGTGGAAATTGTGAGTGTTGGCTCTTTTCTTCCTGGGCACTTCCTTCTGGGCAGGCTTGTCAGGCTCTAGAGCCCACCCTCCTGTCTGAGGACTGACTGTCCCCAAGAGCCTGGAGTGGGCTGCCTGTCTGGCCTGCAGCATTCCCTGGCTGAACAGCAAACAGCGGCTCCTTTATGGCATTCCTGAGGCAGGAGGGTGCAGCACCGTGGAGCCGGCTCCCAGAGAGGCCGGCAGAGAGGGTGTCATGCAGTATTATCAAGTGATAAGGCCTTGAAAGGGCTGTGGAGAGCCTAGGAAGCGCATTCCTGTCCCGGACCTGTCTGGCAGTAAGAGTAAGGGCCTGTGTTTGAAGAGGGACAGCTGGGTGACATAGAGTGGTGGTGGGGTGTCAGCTCTGCACAGGGTCTCAGGAGGGTGAGGGAGGTAGATTTGGTGACCAGAGATCTAATTCCAGCTCTGGTCCCTTCAATAAATTATGAGATTGTTTAATCAATTTAACATGCATTTATTGATTGGCCTGCCAGGCACAAGCAGATAATTGATCTTTGAGGTATTACCATGAAGTAGAGAGTAAAATAAATTCAAACCTGGGTGATTCTTGGAGTGGAGGATAGATTTTCAGGCAGATGGTGTGATGTTTGAGTTGAATTTCTCGTGATGTTAGAGTGGATCGGTTTTGGGTGGTGAGGGCGGTAACTGTTTTCCCAAGGACGCCTATTTTTTTTATAACCCTTGAAGGCAGAAGGGCTCCTTAGGATCTTATGGAGAGTGGCATGGGAAGGTTCTGTTTCTGTGAAGATCACTCCGGGAGTGACCCAAGGAGAGGAAGGAGAGGCGGGGAAGGCGCTGGGGTCATCAGAAGCCTTATTCCAGTGGGGAGCTCTGTTGGAATGAGCTGGGAGGAATGGAGAGAGCCTGTCTTTGGGGCCTGACGACTGAAGAAGCTAAAGTGTTGGTGTTCTGTGGGTACACATAGTTCCTAGCATTCCAGCTTCTTTGGAATGGACAGAGAAGAGGACGTGATCTGGGTGTTAGGGAGTGGTGTTTTTTCTTGGACACTAATAAGTTAGCCAAGCTTTCCAGAAACTGAAATCTCCGTGGTGGAACTGCACAAGGTCCTTGCATCTCATACGAACAGTGTCACCTGTGGAACTGGTGCCTGGCTTCCTTCACTGAGTGATGCAGGCATGCAGGGGTCCCTTGGGCAGATCCAGAGGGCTCTGTGTGTGCTCTGAAAGCCAAGTGGTACACCTTGGTGTTCTCCTATTTTTTACCTGTCTTTTTGAGAGAGGGTTTCACTGTGCAGTTCAAAATGGTCTTGAATTCACTTTGTAGCCCAGGCTGGCCTCAGACTGACAGCAATCCTGCCTCACCCTCCTAAGTGCTGGGAGTATGGGTGTGTGCCACCATGCTGTGCCTGGTGATACCACTTGGGGTTTCTTCTCATTGGCTTTTAGCCAGAAGGAGACTCTGCAGGGAGGTGCACTGAATGTGGACAGAGAGGGCATGTGCTCAACAGTACGTATGGTCCAGTCTGTGGATCACTGTGAAAGTGGCTTCTGGGTGGCACTTGGGACTGGGTGCTTGGACTCTGTCTGAGCTGAGATTCTTACTGCAGTTGGGGACCAGCAGGCAGGGGACAGAAGCCTGAAGGTTCGGGACTCAGAGTGGGAGAAGTAGGTGTGTCAGCCCCCAGGAGCAGAGAACACGGGTGGTGGGGGGGGAACGTCTGTGTGTATGTGCAGTGTGCTTCTGGCTGGGGAGTTGACCTCACCACATCTCTCCTCGCCTGTGAGGCAAGGCCGTGTCTCCTCCCAGGCAGTGATGGACTCCTACAGGCTCCTGGGTGGGAGCACCCCCCAGGACGCCCCATCTCCTTGCTCAACGTGGCCTCAGACCGAGCCTCCTTGTGTTCTGATTGCCAGGAACTGTGGTGTATGGCGAGCCCATCACCGCCAGCTTGGGGACTGACGGCTCCCACTACTGGAGCAAAAACTGGGCCAAGGCCGCCGCCTTCGTCACCTCCCCACCTCTGAGCCCTGATCCTACCACGCCAGACTTCCTGAGCTCCTTGCTGTCCTGGTGAGTCCCCGTCTGCTCACCCTTCCCGTTCTGGGCGGGGCTCACCAAACCCCAGAGAGAGTTCCTGATAAGGACCTGGGCCAGCATGACAGTCAACCAGAGAGGGCCAATGAGGTGTCAGGAAGACCCCGCTTCACATCACTGGTGGGATGTCCCTGTCCCATACCTCCCTGGACAGCCCGAGGTACATAGCGTTGAATGCAGCTACAGCAGATGTGGTGTGTTTCCTTCCAGTGGGGACCTCCAGGTCACCGGTAGCGCCCACTGTACCTTCAACACTGCCCAGAAGGCTGTGGGAAAGGACAACTTCACTCTGATTCCTGAGGGCACCAACGGCACTGAGGAGCGGATGTCTGTCATCTGGGATAAGGCTGTGGTAAGGAGCCCTGGCCTTGGCCTTCACCTGCCTCGGGCTCTGTGGATGTGGGGCTCATGCTGGCCTGAGATGCCAGCAGAGAACATTCTAGAAGTTGGTGCTTGTGTGACAGGGTTCCTCAGTTTGGAAATCCTCAGCCATCCCTAATAGGTACTGTTCTCCTAAATTTTATACACAGCTATCATTATCTACAGAGGCTTCAGTGTGAGGTGTGGTCAGAACCTGTGATAAATATCGAAATTAAAATTACTGCATGAAAGCACATTGACACCTCAAAGGCTCCCTCTGGCTTTGGACAGGCTTATCCCATAGTTCTTGCCACTTTCTGAAGCAGTTCTAAAGTGCTCTTTCTGCAGTGTCTTCAGATGAACTGTCATGGCTACATTGATTGTAGCTTCTTTCAGATTAAACACATGACAGTGTGCCCTCATCCAGCTCATTTACTGGATTTGGCACTGTGTGACTTTGTGTTCTTCCCCAGAGTCAACATGACCACGAAAGGTAAATGTTCTGAGAGGATTTAGGACGTCAAAGCGGCCATGATGGTCCATAAAAAGACACTCATGGGAGAGGACTTCCAGAACTGCTTCAGAAGGGGCAAGAAGGAAGGGATAAGTGTGTCCAAAGCAAGGAGGAGGATTCCGAGAGGATCTCACTCATTCTTTTACTCTTCTAAGTTAAAAAATTAAATATTGACTGTATCTTGTGGTCATACCCTGCGTACCTCCTGAGTTAGTGAGGAAAGAGTCTCCCTGGCCACCTGGTGCCTTTCTCAGGTAACCGGGACACGGGACTCCATTTCCGCAGGAGAATCTTTGAGGGCCGTCTGATTTCACCCCACTTTCCTCACACAGGCTTCCAGTCAGCTCGGTGGAAACAGACCTTGGCCTGTTGGCCTTTTCATTTGAATACATAATAACTGGTTTCCTGTTTTTGAATGGTTTTAGATTATACAAATAAAAACCAGCTGGTTTCAGATATAACTTTAATGTCTTCACTTTTTGCTCATGCACAAATATGTCTGCTATGAGTGAGTGTGAATCACATAGCATAATATGTACTTTTTTGTGGGTGTTTTTTTTTTTTAAACTAATATATGATGAAAAAGTTTCTACTTTACATACTTGGTTTTTAATAGCAGACAGTTCCATCCTATTTCTCAGCAGTAATCCATCCACAATCCTTTGGCCAAGTTATGTTGTTCCTAATTTTTTCCACTGGGACAAGTGTCCCGGGACACATCCTTAATTATGTTGTAGGAGAAATTTCTGGAAGTTGTGTTGCTGGGTCAAAGAGTGTGTCTATTTTTAAGCATATTACTATATATTTATTCAAGCGCCTCCCAGAAATATTGTACCACTTCCTGTGCCACCAACAATGTGTGACATTCCCAGTTCCTTCTTGGGCCAAACAAGTTCTGTTATTATGGACACCGAAACAGGATTGCTGACTGGCTTGGTGATTTCTGGGTCTCATTGTTTGACTCGTACTTTCTCTCACTACTGATGAGAATGATTATTTTTTCAAATGCCTGCTGGCCATTTGTCTTTCTTTCTCCCTCTTTTTTTGTTCTGCTGACTTTTGAGGAGAGGTGATTGGCCCCTAATGTATACCCTGGGCTGTTAACTGTGTACCACGCATGAGACAGAGGTTGAGACGTGTAGACTAGAACCATGGGTCTCTGCCTGGGATTCTTCACAGGGCCACTTAAATTGTGTGCACTTTTGTATTGCTCTACAGCGTTCCACCTTCCAACTTTGTGACTCTTGATACATTTGTGTGCATGTACGTGTGTGTGTGTGCACGCGTGCACATGTGCTTATGTGTTCTTCAGGTCACTGGGAAGATGGACGAGAACCAGTTTGTGGCTGTGACCAGCACTAACGCAGCCAAAGTCTTCAACCTTTACCCCCGGAAAGGCCGCATTGCGGTGGGATCGGACGCAGACCTGGTCATCTGGGACCCTGACAGCATGAAAACCATCTCAGCCAAGACACACAACAGCGTAAGGCCAACCCTGCAGGCTTGGTCCACAAGACTTACAGTTGCCGAAAGAGCAGAGGGAGGGAGAGTCCCCCAGGGCTTCTAAAGAGACCTCGCTGGGGTGGGAGCGGACTTCTCCCTTGGTTATAGCATGCAGTTGCTGAGAAGAGAAACAGCTCTTTCATTTCATTGGAAAGGGCCGTAAGACCGTTACCCTGATCTGTTGAGGATCACAGCCTCCCCATCCTTACACTTCCAGAGTTCCCAGAATGACCTGAGATGTCAGAAGCTTCTAGAAGTCTGGTCACATTCCATTTTTACGGTTCATCCCAGCACCTTCATGGTGGAACTTGATCAAGGGACCTGTGTTAGTTAGCTTTCTGTCTCTGTCACACAATACCCAATACAAATCAGCTAAGAGAACAGTTTATTGCGACTCACAGCTTCAGAGGGTCCAGTCCATGGCTCCACTGTTCTCTGCTTAGGGTGAGGTAGGCGTCGTGTCAGAAGGTGGGGTGGGTGGAGGCTGCGCATGTCACGGCAGCCAAGAGGCCGAGCGGAGGCGTCGAGAGGAGAGGAGGAGGCCAGGGACCACGTGTATCCCCAGAGTCCCATCCTCATGGAAACTGGAATGACAGCGCTGTCACTGACGTTCCTGAGGGAACTGGTGAACTTTGACTATGGCTTGTCCAGATAGAGAGAGTGCCCTCAGCCACGCTCTGATTTAAGGTCTGCTCTTAGCTCTTGGTCTGGGCCCCACAGCTGGGCGTGCACTGTCTTGTTTTGAGCTCAGCAAGATTTCTGGGTGTCCCATGACTGAAAAAGAAGTGGTAGACACCACTGATTCCTCACGCACACACACAAAATTATGTCTCTATACAATTGAAAAAGCCTGGACCGGGGAGACTTCAGAGAAGTTGGCCTTTGGCAGAACTGTTTTGTGTCCTGACTTCACTTGAATCTTGAGGCGAATTCTTAATGAATGGGGAGCATGTTTAGGGTGAAACTCAAAACAAAGCCAGCTCCATAGGGAATGGTTCCAGAACCCCCTTCCCCCAAGGGGCCTGGAAAACAAGACGGACACCACCCAAGTGCCACAGCATTGTGGGCAGGTTCTGACATCTCTGCAAGATGGGACACGCTCGGGCCCTTTGCTGGGTCTAGATCCTCTCTCACTTGGACAGAGGGGCTTGGGCTGCTTCCAGCTTTGTGGCACCTGTGGGCACCAGGGTGGTGGCTTCTCAGAAGAGCGCCCCACTCCCTATTTATAGACTTCTCCCTTCTTCCCTGCTGGCAGTGTGGGTGGTGGCTGCACCCACGTACAGCTTAGATCACCATGCTTGGGGTCCCCCATGACATCCTTGTGGTGACCCACGTATTCAGATGCATCCAACTTTGTGTCCCCTCCCTGTGTCATTTGAGCCCCTCCATAAAAGAGACTGGTGTTATTATCCCAGGCAGGAGATAAATAACGGCGGTGTAGAGAACCTCAGTGGCCGGTCTAATGTTACACAGCGATTTCGTGGTTGGGCCAGAATTAGAACCTGAAATTGTTGAGGCTCTTCCCTGCCAGATGGAAGCTTCTTTCTTGGTCAGAATTGGGCAGATAAAATGCCCTGCCATGCAGAGTCCCCTTCCCAGAGGTCTCACAGCTTAGCACAGCATGGCTGGGCGCAGGGGTCAGGGTCCTCCATGTGGATGGCAGAGAGGAAGTGTGGAGTGAATGTTCTAGAAGGCAGCTCCCAGCCCCCGGGGTCCCATCCAGATCTTTCCACAGTGGTGCCACTGCCCCAGGCTTTTCTTCCAGGTGACCCTGGGAATGACCATGGCCAGCCTGGTGGCAAATTTCTGTAACCTCAGCATTTTGGAAAGCAGAGGCAGGAGGGTCACTCAATGGAAGCCAGCCTGGGCAATTTAGTGAGGCCTCTCAATTTAAAACAAACTAACTGAAACAGGCTGGAACTGTGCGTGGTGTGAAGGCCCCCGTGTGCTCCCCAGGACCCACCCTGGTGCGTGCTTGGCTGGGTGAGGACAGCAGCTCCTAGAAGGTGGTGGCGTCCTCTTGACATTGGGGCAGTGTTGAGGGGCACACACTCTCCCCATGCCTTTTCTCTGTGCAGCTTGATGCCTTAGGAAAGATGATGAATCCAGGTTCTCAGCAGGGAAAGGAGGATGCAGAAGTGGCTGGGGTGATACTGGGGACGGAAATGCTCTCCCTGGAGTTGGGCAGTGGGCGCTGTATAGCGGTCAGGTGCCCGCTTTGAAGCTGAGCGTGTCGGGTCCCCCTCCAGGCCCTTGAGTACAACATCTTCGAAGGCATGGAGTGCCGAGGCTCCCCGCTGGTGGTCATCAGCCAGGGCAAGATCGTCCTGGAGGATGGCACTCTGCACGTCACCGAGGGTTCTGGGCGCTACGTCCCCCGGAAGCCGTTCCCGGACTTTGTTTACAAGCGTATCAAGGCCAGGAGCAGGGTGAGTGGCTTGTTCTTAGGGTTTTTTGAATTCACACCTTGAGTTGAATTTGATGAACATGTATTATTAACCACATTGAGTCAGAATCATGAGCTCTGCTGGGGGCCTGGCTCGAAGGATAAGAAGAAAATGGTCTCTGTATTTGCAGAATTTAAAGTACTTCTGGAGGAGTCAGGGATGTCCAGAGCCAGCCAGGACAAACTAAGACTGAAGTAGGTGCTCTGGTGATGGTATAGGGTGAGGGTCAGGAGAGGGAATCATTGCTGAGGAGTCATAGAGGAAGGAAGATGTCATGGGAGAGGGCATTTTGAGTTGGATTTTAAAGGTTAAGTAGGAGATTGTGAAGGCAAAGAAAGGAGCTAAATAAACTAGGTAGAGGGAATGTCATAAGCATGGAAACAATACAGTGTACTCGGGGCATGGTAGACAGTCCCCAGCCACCAGCCCACTTGGACAAGGAAGAAATGGAGCTGTAAGGAAATTACAGGAAGAATGAGACCGGAGGGAAAGTTTAGGGCAGATCTTGAACCTGGCACTGGGATGTCCTTGAAGCAGGGCTGGGTGAGTATAACAGAGTTGAAAGTGGAAGTGCTTTGGGGGACAAATCGTAACCAGTGGGGACTGTCCTGGCTGCCCCTGCAGTCTGTCCCTGTCATACCTGGTCACCAGGAGGGCTCTCTGGCCCCACAAGCCCCAGGGCGTAGTATCCGTCAGGGCGATGACCTTCCTCACCAAGGGCGACCTTAGCGAGGGCCTCCGTGTTTTGCAGCTGGCGGAGTTGAGAGGGGTCCCTCGCGGCCTGTACGATGGGCCCGTGTGTGAGGTGTCCGTGACCCCCAAGACGGTCACCCCGGCCTCCTCGGCGAAGACGTCCCCTGCCAAGCAGCAGGCCCCGCCTGTACGGAACCTGCACCAGTCCGGATTCAGCTTGTCTGGTGAGTGGGCAGGGGGAGGGGCGGGAACGCCTGTCATCGGACACGTGGTGTCCACCCAGTGGGGCCAGCAGTGAGATCAGTTTGTATCAATCACATCCACACCAGGACGTCCAGCCTGGGGACAGTACCCCGTCCTCCACCAACCGCGGGGCCGTATTCTCACAGGTTATGTCCACCAACAGGCAGGCTTGGAGCACATGCGTGCCCAGTCTCCCCTTCCCCTCTGCACTGCGGGGTTTGTGCTGTGGCTCTCTGTCGTCCAGCTGTTGGGAGGACGGGGAGATTTGCCATCTCTCTGAAATGCTTAAAACGCAAGCGCTGGATGACAGCTACTTGCCTGATAAATGTGACGTCTCCTGGGAGAGGAAGCGGCCCAGGTTCCCCTCCTTCCTTGCACTTCCTGTCTCCACGCGCGAGCCCTATTCTCTCAGCTCCCCTGAGTCACAAGAGGGTCCCCAGGGTCTCTAACACAGTAAAGAAGGTTCACGGGGAGTTCGTTCTCTTGGCAGATCTACTGGTTTCCTAGAGGGTACCGGATGTGCCATTCTTGGGTTACCTATTTTCAAAAAGTGTCGTAAGAGTGGGCTTTAATTGTTTTAGAAGACGAAGTGGTCCCCATGCTGTCTTCTCTCTTTGCCCACTGAAATAGAAGGTTCATGTGGGAGAGGCTCCTGATCGAAAATGTTTTGCAGGGGCAGAACTATTTTGGATTTTGGATTTTTACAGATTTTTGGAATATTTGCATCTGCATAATGAAATACCTTGGATAGGATCCGAAGTCTAATCACACAATTTATTTTCATTTCACACGTACCTTATACACGGAAACTGATGGTGTTTTATACAATATTTTTAGTGCAACCACCGACCCCGTTCCAGGAGGGAGGTCAGTTGTGGAATTCTCCACTAGTGTCATTTCAATGCTTGTGAAATTTCAGCTTTAGTGTCATTTTGAATTTTTTAGGTTGGGGTGCTCCTCCTCGTGGGGCGTCAGGGACCGAATGTCAGAGGGGGCTGTACCTTCAGGAAGGCAGCCTGTGCCCTATCTGACCAATAAACATGGAGACCCAGTGCGGAGTGCAGGGCCAGGCTTTTGCCTGTCTTATGGCTGTACTGGGAATCAAACCCCAGCCTCGAGCACACTAGGCAGGTGCTCTGCCCCTGAGCCATCCCTCAGCCTGGGAAGTGCAGTTTTTGTCTGTGGTTTACTTACCCAGCTGTGGAGCCCGCCTAGCCCCCAAGGACGTCATTGGCCACCCGCCATCGGCCCATCACATTTCGTGGGCTTCCGAGACAGCAGAGCCTGTGCTGAGCTGCGTGGCGTGGGTTCCAGCGGTGGATCCTCACACCTCTCTCTGCTCTTCCCTCCTCTCCAGGCGCCCAGATTGATGACAACATCCCTCGCCGCACCACCCAGCGCATCGTGGCGCCCCCTGGTGGCCGTGCCAACATCACCAGCCTGGGCTAGAGCTCCTGGGCCCGCAGCCCTGGGGATGAGGGATGGGACCCTGAGGACATTCTGAGACTTCCTTCCTCCTTCTTCTTCTTCTAATTCTTCAACTCTTTTTTTTTTTAAGAGCCTGTGATAGTTGCTGTGGGTAGCCAGTTCCCGGGGCTCCCTCTCGGGCCCCACACTCTGCCTCTCACCTGGAGTTACTGAATTCGCTCACCCACTCCCCACCCACCGGTAAACACCACACCCCCACCTGGCACCCAGTCTCCGCGGAGCTGTGCCAGCAGGAGACATGCGCCACAGAGCAGGCCCCGGGGCGCCTCTGCCCGCCTGCCCTCTGCCTCGCCTCTTCCTTGTCCTGGGGAGGATCAGTGAATTGCCCTGAGCTGCCTTTTTGTCTTTTCTTTTTAAATTTTTAAAAAAGGCTGTTTTGGTTTTTGGCGGGGAGGGGGCTGGGAAGGGGTTGGGTGGGAGAGAGTTTTTTTCTTTTTGAATCCTAAATGGGAAAGTGACGGAGTGTTAATGACCCCAGGTTTGACCTGCACGTCCTAATGATGCAGTTATGTAACCATCGCGCCCTTTCCGGGTGGTTGGCAAACTCTTCGTCCCTCCGGAGCAGCTCCAGAGCGTCCACTTGGCTCTTCTTCGGCCTTCTGGGTCATCTGTTGAGAAAGGCCGGGTTTTCTCTTGTGGCCTAGATTTTTGCGGCAGATTAGAGCTCTTGAGGATGCGCCTTGCAGTGTTTCCGCGCCCTCTCTCTTGCTCACTCTAGCTTTTTCGTTCATGAATATTTCAGAGGCCCCGGGTCTCGCTTCATGTTTCCTCCGGCCCTCATCCCCGAGACAGGGTTTCCCCCTTTCTCCCGCTGTCTCTTCTAACCGCTGGTGTCCGGTGCCCTGCAGTCAGCACCTGCCCGGAAGGACCTGCGCTTTGCCCTCTGCCTCAGTCCTGTGTCCTCCCGGCCCCTGTAGGACTGGTGCTAACTGCCCAGGGTCACAGGTCGGAGTGTGGGTCTGAGTCTCTAACGAGGTGCGGGGATGGCAGGTTTTCTCCCACACCAGCCCCCTGAGACCGGGGACGGGAAGGGGAGGCTGCAGAAGAAATGCCGAGTGACCTTCAGACCGGTGAGCCAGCCTGGTACCCAGCGGGCAGCCAACTTCCAGCTGCCCATCAGCTCCTGGGGCAGTGCACAAGGGAGTCCTGCTTCCAGGACCTGCTCCTGCCCAGGAAGGATCTTTTGGGTTCTAGAACACACCACGGCTGCTCACTTTGGGAAAAGCACTTGATCAGTTATTTCACAAGTGATCAGGCTGTGTCAACTCAGAAATCCCTCGGGAAATTTGACTGCAAGCCCTTTTGACTTGGCAAGGGAGGGAAGAAAATCTATGAACCACGGATCAGGTTGGGGCTGACATGGGGGGAAGAAATCTTACAAATGGAGAGTGCAACCCCCTTGGAAGACCACAGGGGACCTCACACCTGCACCCCTCCCTCTCCCTGTTTCAGGGACCCCTTTGTGCTAGCTGGCTTTCTGTCCCTGCTGACCGTGTCACATTTCTTTGCAGACATTTACAGGTCCTCGTGAACAATGTTAGGTTTGCAGGCGTTTATGAAACCAAATCAGCCTTTGTAAAGTGTAACATCACAAAGTAGGTCATAGCCGTCACGTGCTTGTGTTCACACGTGTTCGCCTTTGGGGTTCATGGTTGGGGGTTTTGGTTTTTCGTTGTTGTTTATTTGTTGTTTTAAAGGTAAATTGCACTTTTTTAAAAAAAGGAATCGGTTGACTTAATATATTTTTTTTTTCCTTCTCTCACCTGTGCTTAGAGGAAATTGGAACAAGTTGGAAAAGACATTTTTGTTTCAATTCTAAGAAACACATGCAGCTCTTCAGTATTCGCTTGTCTTCCTGTCGTTCTTGTATCGGGTCATGGTAATTTTGGTGTTTAGGTTATTTTCTTTAAAAAAACAAGACAAACAAACAAAAAAACAAACCACAATGTAAAACCTGGAGATTCCCGCAGGCTGTGTAAGCATGTTCCCCTGTTGGCTTGCTCTGTGTATCTGTTCATGAATGTCATATGTAAGCGCTAAACTACGCGCCAGTGTCTCAGAACTCAGTAACCACAGTGACCTGATGCTCTAAACCAGTGTAGGATTTAATACTAGATGGCTTTTAATCCCTGAGATTGTGATCGTGACTCATGAGTGGAGGACCTTTCAGTGCTAACGCTGATCATGTGTGTAACCAGAGGAGTACCTTTGTTCCTTTTTTTGTTTGTTTGTTTTTGTAACCACTCACTGTCTTAATGGCAAAATAATTATGGTAAAAACAACAAGTCTCGTGTTTATTATTCCTGGAGATCTCTGTTATATTACCATGGAAAGCCTAATAAAGCAAACTGTGGTTGCCTCAGGGCGGTGTCTGTATTGAGATGTCCAGGGGGTGGCTGCTTGGTCTCCGGAAGCATTTCCTTTCCAGAGTGGGTCATGGGAGGCCTCAGCTTTCACTTCATTGTGGAGGTTTTCCAAATTCTAGCACTTGTCACTCCATCTCACAGGTTGCTGTACTCAGGCCACGGGGTGAAATCTTATTCTAAGCAAAACCACAGCCTGAGGACTATGTGGTACCCCAGTGCCAGAACTGTAGATCCAGCCCAGAGGTCAGGTTTACAAGGGCAGGACCTCAGTGGGTCTCTCCTCTGGGCTCTGGACCTCCCTGCAGCTTGCGTACCCTGAGGAATCCTCAAGCTGCCTGGGCACAGGATTTGTTCCTGTGCCTCCACAGAGGAGCGGGCAGGAAACGGGTCACCCGGAACCGACACCAGTACTGTTGGCTCTGAAAAGCGTGCGCGCAAAGGGTCTGTGCTTTGGGCTCCTTGGACTCATTACATGGTTGAAGTCATTTTCTTTTTCCCTCTTCTACCTTTACCCAACTCCCTTTCATGGCTGGGGGACCCAAGGCCTGGCACATGGGAGGCAAGCTGAGCTACCCCCCAACCCAAGCCTTTCTCTCCCTTTTTGTTTTCTGTACAAACAGGATATGGGGTGACTTACCAAAATATATCCATGATACTAGAACTTTTTTATAAACAATGTTTGTGTGAGAGGAAAATATGAGGAAGAAAAATACGATAAGGCCCTCTTGGGTATACAGTGCCGCAAGCCTGTGCGCTCGCTGGGGAGTTGTGAGTACTTTGAAGTGGCCCGAGGCCAGCAGTGACAGTGACCAAAGGAGAAAGCAAGAAGTGAGGCCTTCAGAAATCCAGCAGACCCTGCTTCTCATTTCCAGGGCAAAGTCCTGGGGCCTCCTGGGATCCAGTGAAAATCAAATCTGTCCAGGAGAGGGGAGCAGGGAGTATCACCCCAACATACAGGGAAGCTGCAACAAGAGATAAAACAGAGCCCTGAGACCCATACCCTGTCTACCTGCTGTTCTGAGGGGCTTCATCTGCACCCCAGATGGGCAAAGCCCACCTGTGTCCTCTGCATTCTGCCCAGCCCTTGGCACAGAGCTGCCCAGTTAAGAGGCCATGGCAGCTCTGCAGAGGAGCCGAGTGGGCACTGTGAGTGGACCTCCGATTGGGACACTGGCTTTTGGAAGGGGTGGTCAGGTTGGGAACATCTCCCTGACCCTGGGGGAAGAGGCACCCTGGCGTGGGTGAGTGTGGGGTTCCAGAGAGGGAGTGGGCCAGCTGCGTCCTGTCACTGGTGTGGTTGACACCCATTTTGGAGCTGGTAGGAAAAGCTAAGCCTTCAGGCAGCAAAGCTCCTCCTTCCCCACCAGTCCTTCAGAAAGCTTCTCCCTCTGCAAGGCAGAGACACTGTCTTTATTTATTCTGCCGTGAGGTGGGTGGGAGGGCGGCTGGGCGTTGAGCCTGGGGCCTTCACACTGAGCTGCACCCTCCGGTCTCACCATGTTTCTAAATTGTCCAGCATGGGCTCGCTCTCCTCTCAGCCGCCCAGCGGGATGGTATCTTCTTTCCAGCTGAATTCATGGTTTAGGACCTGGGATTGGTTCCCAGCTCAATCCCCACCTTTCTTTGCCCTTCGGTAAAGGGCAGGTCAGGAATGGGGTGTGAGCAGTGCAAAAAGAGTGTGTGAGAGCGGCCACAGACAGTGCCCTAAAGTTCTCTCCTTCCAAGACAGACGGAAGACAGCTGAAGTCGATTGGCGACAGAGCACTGCTGATTAATGTCATGATGACCACTGAGCCTCGTGCCCAGGGCTGCTTCTGACAGCGCCCACCTGTTAGACTGAATACTGTTGTGGATGGCTGCTTCTGGGGGGTGGGAGAAGGCTCCTGCGTGGGGGCTGTGGGGAGACACAGGTAGAGGTGTCAGGAAATCCGGCCAGGTCCAGGTCCAGGCAGGAGGAACTTGGGCAGATGAGAGCTTTTCCGAGAAGAGTCCTTCCTACCTGTGCTCTCAGGACTCAGGAAAAGGTAGGTGCTAGTTAAGAAGCCACATGAGAGCCCACAGGATAGAGGCGCAGGAGAAAAATGGGCCCCGGGGAGGAAGAAAAATTGTGAAGAGAAATTAATAATTTAATGAAATTGGGAAATTAATAATTTGATGAAAGCTTCGCAACGTATTGTCCCCAGATGTATCTGTACGTGAGTTTGTAATGATTCTGAAGGAGGAGGAGGTGAAATAGTGTCTGTGAGAGTACTTGGAAAGGGCCAGAGATCTAAATGTGTGCACACAGTCATTTGATTAAGATTTGGCATCGGGCTTCCAGGAGAGCCACCAGGAGGCCAGGAGGGCGACGACAGGGGGCGCCCTTAGCCCTGGGGTCCGGGGAAGCTGTGAAAAGCGTGGCCTCTGTTCAGGGTTGGACTTAACGTGAGGGGGAGGGAGGGGACACTGGAGGAGTTGAGGACGATCAGATGCTGGTGCCGCGCAAGTTTTGTGGTTAAATAATTTAGTACGTGGCCATCACCCACGTGATTCGCTTTGGCAGCCCAGCCTGGCCTCCTGGCGTTGCCCAAGCAGCCCTCATCCTAATGAGCTGCCTCCTCCCACACACAGCCCGGGCCAGCTGGTTTATGCAACAGTCCTGGGTGGAGGGCAGAGGGGGAGCCGGGACCTCCAGCTGTGACCTTGCCCCCGCCGTAACCTTGACCATGCGCAGCTGTTCTCAGCCTTCTCCGAGACTCCTCCTCCAGCTCTTGTCTGCGCCCCGGAATGCACTTCAATTCTTAGAGATTCCTCATACAGGTTTGGTTCTAGGGAGGGACGCTCGCCACAACGGCGGGAGTCGGGGGACCTCACAGTGCTTTGGGCGCAGTCCTTCGGGAAGAATGAGAGGTGCAGTGGGCTCTGCCCCGAGTCCTCCCTTTCACTGCGCATCTGCATCTTCCCTGGTTTTTCCGGTGAGCACAAAGTTTAGGCAAACTATCAGCTTCTCCGGAGGCCGGGAAAGGAGGGGGTGCAGACGCCTCTCTGCTTAGCTAATTCGTGCCTTGAGCTCCCTCTGCTGGACGGAAGCACATCCTTCACTTCTTTTTTGGGGTGGTTTTGGGGATTGAATCCGAGGGTCTTCACACCCACATCCCCAGCCCCTTTCAAAATTTTGAAACGTATTTTCGTAACTTGCTAAGTTGCCTAGGCTTGGGTTTAGATTTATGAGCCTCCTGCCTCAGGCTCCCAGGGTGTTGCTGGGATTACAAGTGTGTACCATTACACACACCTCATTTTGTATTTAATTGGTAGGCAAGAAGGCACAGAAGGGAACCCAAGCCCGCTGCCCCTCCGTGGAAGCAAGGAGGAGCAGGGCCCGTGTCCATTCATGCGGTCACGGCGGAGTCCACTAGCTCAGCTTCCTGTCTCTCCTGCCAGGGTCCTGTCTGCCCCTCCCACAGCACCCAGTGTTTGAAGTTGCCATCTGTCTCATGTCCTCCCTGTGTCCTTCAGCCAGCAGCCTCCCCACTGTACCCTACCAGGATCCTACGGGTGCCCTGTGACCCTTAGCGGTCACCTCAGTTTTCGCACGTTCTCCACTGGTGTCTGCGGGGTCCTGCTCACATCCCCGCAGCAGCCCTGCCAGCCAAAGCCCCTGCCACAAGTCTTCATCCAGAGACCATGAGGCAAAGCGCCTCAATGAATCACTGGAAATCCACGCCGTGTGCCAGACCGGGAGGCATGAGACGTCCAGCCCTGCCTGGCAGGCACCCTTGCACCAGGCCCTCACTCTCTTTCTTTCCTTAGGTGTCACTCACACATCCCTCTGGGCATGCGTCCTCCTCTGTGCTCCTGACCGCTTGACCAACCCCCACCCCCACCCTCTCTTCCTATTTCACAATCCTTAAACCTTGCTCACACTCAGTAAGACCCCCTGCTTCACAGGTCACCATCTTTCGCCTCCGTGTCTTACACAAAGCCTGGTCCTTTTTCTAAGGCGAGAACTGCATCCTTCGCCTGCTCTGTATCTCAGCCTCCATCTTCCCCAGCACAGAGAGGGCTGATGGGTTGCCCAAGCCTCCATTCTCTGGGTATTAATTTTGTGTTGCTAAAACAAAACACCCAAAGCAGCTGTCTCATAAAGACAAAATAAATAAGTAAATAAAATAAAGCCCGTGACTTTGGAAGTTCCAAGATCAGGTGGCACCATTTGCCTGGCCTCTGGTGAGCAGTCTTGTGCATATAGATTATGTGGAGGAACATGGGTGTTGAGTCAGAGAGAACCCCTCCCCTTAGCTTCTAGCATGAAGCCATCCATAAATTAATTCTATAGGGAGTCTTCTGGGCCTTGTCACGGTTCGGAGGAGTTTATATTTGTAATCATGGGGAAAAGTTATTAGAATTCTACTAAGTAAATTCCAATCTGCCATTTCCAGTGCAATCCATGGCAGGAATAAAGACATACAGACATAGCTGCAGTGTGGGGAGCTAAGGGGATCCTAAATCCAGTTGGAACTGTGGCTAACCAGAACAAAGGCCACGACCCAGGGCTGCACCCAGGTTTTCTTCATTTATGGAGAGAGGAGTAGCTGAGTACTGTGAGCTGGGCTAAGTAGGAGGCCAGTGGCACCTCTGCAATGTGCAGAGAGAGGTATGCAGACAGTGGGCCAGATTCTAGTAACAGCTTCTAAATTTGGAGGAATCTGCATGGCACAGTTTGAGGAGTATCTTGTGTTTTTGGTCAGTTCCCTCAGCTTTGATGTCTGACCTTTCTGCCCAGCGACATTATGGGCTCTTTCTAGAGGTCCAGTCCCAACTGACAGTGAGGCATCTCTCAGCTTAGCTCATGTTTAGCAGTAGGGAACCAGAGCCCGGGGCATCACTGATCTGTTGCATTACCTCAAAGGCTACACATTAGGACCTCTGCTAGGCCCATTTGCATTGCTTATAGTCAATTGAGGGGTTAAGGATTTTCCTAGCCAACCTTGTACATATCACTGCACAGAAATAGGGC